CTGGAGGCACCCAGTCCACCATTTTCCGAGCCCCTAGGATTATGTTCTGAAATTCCCCGGTGGCGAAATGGACTTGCAGATACTCAAACGAACTTTTAGAGGAAATAATAAATGTGCGCGCATTTTATTCTCAGGATAGGTACTTGTATATTTTTTTAATGTTTTTGTATTGTTTTTTGTTGTTTTTGTTTTTTGCTTGTTTTTTCCTTTTTGTTAATATTAATTATGTTAATAACATTGATAATCATTTTGTTTTGTTTGGTTTTCTTCATTTTGTTTTGCATTCACTTAAGGTTAAAACTTGTTGTCTGCATTTTGTTGTTGCCATCATTTATTCTCCACCGCCTACATCTCCACTATCTTTATCTTTATCTTTATCTTGTAAATTAATTTGTTATTCCTTGGATTGCATACAATTTGTTGTCACAACGGCGCAATTATTATGTAATTTTTGCCAGCCAGCTGCCCTTGCAATGCAGTTATAAATTTGTTTATCCATTAACTTTGGTTTCGGTTTAATAATAAAATTGAAAATTTTTAAGAGATTTATCTAGATGTGATGTTTTCTTGTTTGTTAATTTGTTATGTTGCATTTTTAATATTATTTATTTTCTTTTTGGTTTTTCCTTTCATCCATTTGTTTTCAATATAAGTATATAAACTTTTTGCTTTGACAAAGTTTTTCCAACTTATATTTATCATACATGTTATATATAAATAAATGTTTAAATATATATAAAATATGCATTTAAATTGATTTATCCAAAAGGTAAAGTTTTAATTCTTTTTTGGTTTTTCTTCATTTGGTTTTTCTTGTTTTTTTTGTTTTTCTTTGTCCTTTTTTTTTTTTTTGTTTATAATATATATTAAATTGTTTTCTTTTTCGTGTAAAGTTTTAAAGCATTCGAGGGCAGGAAGTAGATGTTGAAAAATACATGTATCAAAAAAATTAAGGTAACGTATATAATTACATACATACATACATATGATGAAAAGGTTTTCATTTGCATTGCAATGGAGATGAGTGAAAACGAAAAACAAGAAATCTTCCCATTTTCTTTTTATTCTCTTAAAAATGTAATAAGTGTATATACGTTTATAAAAAAAAACACAATTGGTTAACATAGGGGTTTACTTAAAACGACTTAAGTATTTGATTGTACATAGTAGTTCAAGCTAATGGACAAACTAACAGTCCAACGGAAATTCGAAAAATGAAACTCAGAACATAAAAGTTCAATATGCGATTTTTATTCGATATCAAACTCAGAGTGGAATTATTTCCGACCAGCCTTTTCTGAATACAACTTTCGGTAGAAATTGGAATTGTAATATTTTTTACTTGAAATCACTATTAAAACTGCCTAAATGTATGCTACAATAAATGTTTAGTGTAAAGTTTCCATGAGTAAGGACCAAAATGTACTTTTCACTGCATACTTTTAGACTGATTCTAAAATGTTTTCAAACTTCCAATGATTCAATACCCCAAATCCTACCGAAATTTAGATCCAAAACAAGACCGATTACATTTTAGTTTTGAAATTGTTGTTTGCTGTAGTTGGTAATTTTGGTTTTTACTTTATATTCTCTTCTTCTCTGGTATTTCATATTTATATGGTGTAGTAGAAAATGTACCATTAAAAAGTGTTGTTATTCCTCTTGGTTTTAATTTGGTTTCGCACTTATGCTGGGTTCTTCTTAGGTCACCGAAAAGACAGAGAGAGAAAGACATAGAGAGAGAGAGAGAGTGAGATAGAGAGAGTAAGGACAGAAAGGGTCAAGGTCGAAGTCGTGCGAGAGAGAGACAGGAGAGCAAAGAGCAGGACAGCAGGAGACTGGAGTGGGTAGAGCGAGAGGGGGAGTTTTTATTATAATTTTGTTTCGCTTTTGTTTAGTTCTTAGGCTTCGTGTATATAGTATAAAAGTATTTTTTATATATTATTCGCTTACTTGTAGTATGTTATATATTTTGGGGTTTTTCGGTTTCTTCTCATATATGTAGATGTATATTAATTTAATTTACTTTGGTTTCGCATTTGCTTTTTTTTATTTAGAAGAGCGCGCTAATTTGTAATTTGTTTTTATTTTGGTTTTCATTTTCCATTTTTTTTGTTTTGTATTTGTGGGAACGTTTGGAGGAGAAAAGTATTCAGTTATATGCTATACATATGTATATGGGTTGCGGTAATTTGTTAAAAATGTCTCATTTACTTTAAAAATAATAGTAAGAGCTTGTTTGCTGTAATCCTTTATTGGTTGTAATTATTGTTTATAATATTTGTATTATTCGTATTCTTGGTTTTTCATTGAATCGAAATGCATAAACGTCTTGTAAATTGTTGTGTCTGTGAAACGCTTAACTTTAGATCGGTTTATATTGTATATGGATATATATACTATATATATATATGTAAATATATATAAATGTAAATCATCTGTAACCATTAACTGCGTGATGACGTAGCTGCTGCTGCGCATGGGCACCCGCGCAAAGGCAAAAAACACGCGAGGAAGAAGCGGAAATTGGAAAATGGCAAGAAAACGAAGCCAAGCATGCTTTTCGATTGCTCGCCAAGCATGCTTTCCATACCTCTCGCTCGCAAAAAGCAATGCTGCGTGTGTGTGTGTGTGGGTGGCTGTGTTCAAGGGTGCCTATCAACTTAATTTGAATTTGTCATCGACTTTTAACTGCCCTTCTGATTGCTACTGCACTTTTGCATTTTGCATTTGCTTTTCTTACTCTGTTTTTTCTCTTTTTTTTCTGTTATGTTCGATTAGCTGCCGCTCGCTCTTTATCTCCTTCTCTTTTCGTCTCATACTTGGCTTATACGCACGGCCTATCGGCCAAAATACAAGTTTATCGATAACCAATTGCTGCCCAATAATCGTAGCTACTTTCCTGTTTGCAAATTAGTAATTAACTAGTGATTGCCGATTAAAACCTCGTTTGCAAATTGAAAACCAAGAGTTAACACCCGAAAAGGTGGACTAGCGATACATTTTTATTTGCCAATAGGCCGTGCGTATAATCGTAGTACCAACTTCGACCCTTAACTATTTCAAATATATATATATATGTGTATATACGTTCTCTTAGGCGTATGTATGTATATTTGTTTATAAAGTACTTCAAATTGCTATAAGTTTGCATTTTGTATTACATTTTCTTTAAACTTTAAATTGGGTTTGTTTGTTTGTTGTCTTGTCGAATTTGAAAAGTTGTATTTTTTTTGTTTTTGCATGCTGCACAATTGTTTGCTTTTTTTGGTTTCAACATATTTTTTTTTGTTAATGGTTGTAAACGTTATTTGGTTTAATTTTCATCATGTTCTTGTTGTATAATTTAAACTTAATAGTTAATTCACATAGTTCGGTTTTTGTTTTTTGTTGTTAATGATTTTTCCCTTACTTCTTATTGTAGAATATAATTATTTTTGTTTAAGAAAACGTTTTGCCTTGCATTGTTTGGCTGCAGGCGGTTTTTTGTTTGTTTAATTTTTCATTTTATTAAATTCATTTAATTAAATTACTTAACGCTTATAGAAAAAGGTGTAGTAAACAATAATGAAGTAGAAACAACAATTTAGTTTATAAATATATATTTATGTATTTATATTATGTGTGTTGCTGATTGTGTGTGTATATATATATATATCAGTATATATAAATAGTTTACAATAAATACAAATTATAAAAAAGATAACAAGAAATATAAAAAAATTTAAGAAATAACAAAATTCCCTTTGCACACGTTAATTACATCATCTTTAGTTAGGCTTCATTACTTATCCGCTCTGTTCATACTCGTATCCCCCATTAATTTCTCCTCTACATCTTTTATCTCATTGACTTTAAAAAGTAACTAAAATTCCATTAAGTATAAAAAGGATTTGCACGCGACTACGACGACGACGCAGGCGCAAATGCTGGAGGGTAAGGTAATGGATAACGGATAACGGGAAGGAAGAATGGGGGGCAGCCGCCTATCGACGCGCCTTGAGATTCGATTATTTCGATAACTTCGATCAACGATTAGTTCGATAGTTCGATTGGTGGCAGGCTGGAGGTGGTGGGGTGGCTCAGCACTGGCGCCTGCATCGCTGCGGCCCATGCAAATGTATTAATTACACTAGTTAACAAAATAATATTTCGAAACTGCACCAAGAAAGATGATGGTAGTTCCTGGTAGAGTTGTGCCCCATGGATCACGAAAAAGAAGTCAAAAATATTTTAAATGAACAAGAGTTTTTTATGATAACTGTTTTGGTGCTTCGAGTTTTTTACGTTATCTAAAGTTGCTCCTAACCAGTTTAGATGATATATATTTTAGTTTAAAACTATAATATCACCCGAATAAATTAATAGGCTACATTGAGTATATTTATTTATTCGGCAAAATTAGTGGGTGACATTATAGTGGTAAACTAAAACATATCACCTAAATTGGTTAGCTGCAGCTCGAGATAAAATTAAAAACTCGAATTCACCAAAACATTGATCTTAGAAAAATCTTCAACAAATTTTAAAACATTTTTGACTTCTTTTTTGTGATCTAAGGGTCAAACTCTACCAGGAACTACCGTCATCCTTCTTGGGACATTTTGGCTGTAAACTAGTGTTATATATTCAGCTAATGACTACGACAAAGATGGCACGTATATAAAGACCACATACACAATCACCAGATGAGAGAGAGTGTGAGGCGACAATGGCGACGATAAACGATAACTGATCGATTTAACGATCGGCGATCGGCAAGGGACGATCAACTTTGAGTTGGATCATCGCCCCGCTTGTTGGTGTATGTTTATGTTTTGTGTGTGTGTGTGTGCTGTTGTTTAGTGTTCAATGTTTGATGTTTAATGTTAAATGTTTGATGTTGTGTGTGCGAGAGAGAAAGAGTCGGATAGTTAGATAGATAGAGAGAGATTCAGTCGTTTCTTGTTCTTGTATTAAAATATTGTAGTAAAATATTGTTGCTGCTGCTGTTGTTGTTGTTGTAGTAGTAGGAAGTTGTTTCATTATATTATTTTTTTTTTTTTTTGTATTTCGGTTTGAGAAGAAGTCGCCGCAGACGCCACACAACGAAAGTAGTAAAATTTCCTTCAGCTTTTTGGCTTCAGTTTAGATGCTAGATTTAGTTCTCTTTAGCTTTCGTCACTTCGTTTGGTTTGACTTTACAGAGATGAGAGTTGGTTTTCGATTCGTTTTACAATTTGTTAGCAAATAATTTAAATTACCTAATTTGCTTGCATTAAGTTTTTTGGTTTTAAATCGTTTTTTCTTTTCTTTTTTAAATCTTGGGAATGCGCGCAACTTGCAACTGCATCTGTCTACTGCTCCTTGTCAACTCCTTGCCAAAAGCCGGGCATTTTTAAACTTTTGCTTAGCTTTTACATTTGCTCTTTTGATATAACGTTGCACAAAATTTTGATATATATATATATATATATTTATATATATAATTCTATAATCATTCAACTTTATAATTAGCTTCCATTTTAGGGGGGTGTTTTTACTTTCAATTGTTTGCATTTAATACCAATAAGTACTCGTTAACGCTTGCTGTGTTGTTGTTGTTGTGGTGTCTCTGCTCTTGATCTTAATCCATACTATCCTTGATCAACTTCGCCTCCTATATATTATGATCTTTCAATTAGCTGTATTGTATGTAAGTATGCCCAGTTTGTATCTCCTTTGAGCCGAACTTGAGACCATTCCTCTGTTCCGAACTGTTAAGCTGACTCCCTCCCACCGTTCGCTGCTTAATTGTCGACTACTAACTGACATTGCTGCTCCTCCTCCTCCTCCTTCTCCTCTTCCTCCTGCTCCTCCGACGATCCTGCGATCCCCTGGATCTAGAGATCCATCGATCCATCGACTATCTGACTAACTTGACTTGTTATATAGCTGTAGCTGGTGCTAACTGACTTAGAATTATCCATTGATTGAATTCGCATTTGCATTGGCCGCTGCTGCTGCCGCGGCTGACAGTGATTTCTGGCCCTCCTCCGCCGGCGAGGGCGTGGCATCCCGCCGCGGCGGCATCCGTTCGTTGACGGCATCCAGGCCCTTGGCCTCCGCGAACGAGGTAATCTTGTGGTTGGGCGAGAAGCCCTGCATGGCGTTCTTGAGCGACTGCTTGCCGCCGGATAAGGCGCCGAGGGGCAGGGCGCCCGTGGGCGTCAGGCCCTTCAGCTGCAGCACCGACTCGGACTCCTCGCGCAGCACGGAGAAGACGCGCGCCATCTTGCCGATGGCACGGATCTTGTTGCGGATGACCTCCTTGCGCAGCGCCGCCTCGTCGTCCGAGAGCGGCTCCTCGCTCTCCTCGGTCATGAGCTCGTCGTCGGAGCAGATGTTCAGCACGTTCACCAGCATCTCGGTGACCTTCTCGCCCACGAAGGGCAGCGACCAGGTGAACACGTCCATGAAGTTGGGCAGCCAGTACGGGTGCGGCGAGCAGTTGAACTGCCGGATGTTCATCACGTTGTTCTCGTACTTCAGCACCGCCGCCTTGTTGTTGTACACGTCGAGATAGTTGGGCGCCGAGAAGATGGTGATCAGCGAGGGGAAGCCGGTGGTCTGGCTCTTGCGGTACATGCGGTAGCCGGCGTCCTGCGCCTCGTGCGCCCGGATGATCGACAGCAGGTTGTTGTTCTGCAGGAAGTCGCAGCAGGCGGCGTAGCTGTAGAAGTACGAGCAGCCGCGCACGGAGTTGTGCGTGTAGAAGTCCGAGTTCTTCTCGTTGCCAAAGTCCTCCAGCGGATCGGACCACAGCAGGTCGCACATTGGGCCGAAGGCGGGCGGCTCCTTGAAGCGGTCGAGCCGCCGGATGTCCTCCAGCTCATGGATCTCGGGCGACAGGCCGCCGTGGACGCACAGGAACTGCTGGTTCATCAGCGCCGCCAGCGGCAGGCAGTCGAATGCGTCCATGCAGGCGTCGTACACGCGCTCCGAGTACTTGATCTTGCACTCCTGCTTGAAGGTGAAGTACTCGGTCAGATGCCGGCACTCGTGGTTGCCGCGCAGCAGGAACAGCGTCTGCGGATAGGTGATCTTCAGCGACCACAAATACAGGACGCACTCGATGCTGAAGTAGCCCCGATCGACGTAGTCGCCCAGGAACAGATACTTGGTGGTCGCCGGTGAGCCGCCGATCTCGAATAGCTTCATCAGGTCGTAGAACTGTCCATGGATATCGCCGCACACCGTCACCGGCGCCTCAATGTCGATCATCGTCTTTTCCGTGCGCAGGAGCGTGGCACCCTCCTGGATAATCCGCAGGGCGGCACTCTCCTCGATCCTGCCCTCCAGTATAAAGTGCTGCTTGAGGACATCGTGCTGCGGCTTTCCGGTTCGCGCGTCAAAGACATCCGCACAGGTGAGTTTGCGACTTGGCGGAAATGGCACGCTGTCGATCACACGCTCCTTTGTCGATATTGTGCTGCGCTTGGTGGGGCTCGATGGTCCGCTACCGCTTCCGGTTCCAGTGCCGCCCTGCCCCTGCTGTTGTGTGCCCGCCCCAGCTCCAGCGGATCCTGCTCCTCCAGCCGATCCCCCCGATGTCCCCGTCGTCGCCGCTGCATTCTTGTTGTCGTGTGTGTTGTTGACATTCGCCTTTTGATTCTGCTGCTGCTGCTGGGCTGCGGACTGCGACTGGCTGCTGCTGCTGTTGCTCTGCGCCGCCGGCGAAGACATGGTTGCCCGATCCTCCGACTGGCCCGCCTGCGTCCTCGACTGCTGACTGCTCCGGAGTTTCGCTGCTGCTGCTGCTGTTGTCTATCTGGACTGGCTGGCTGGCTGAAGACTGGATGTGGCTTCCCACCTGATCACGTGTCACTGCCCCAGACGCGCCAGCTTCTGCTCCACACCACCTGGTGTTGCTCCTTGTCCCTGCTTTTTTTTCTTGGACTCCCTGGTATTCCGCTCACTGGCTGTTATTCCTCGTGCTCTGCAATGAAAAATGGTAGAGCAGCGTTAGCATTTTTATTTATATTCTTGTTGGCACGCATTACGGGCTGTTATAAATAATAAAGGAGCCCCATCTCAAATATTATATATATATATATTCTTGTTTTTTCATCACGAGCATATGAATCACATACATTGTGATGCACTGGCACAGTGTGGTTACAAAAGCATCACTGAAGGAAAAAGTAATTAAAATAATAAAGGCTCATCACATTATACGATTTAAAAACATGTGAGCTTATGAAATATTTTACCGGGTTTTAAGATTTAATCTTTGTTTATTATTTGATGATTATCCAAAAGCAAAGGAATATGAAATCAGTTTTACAGGAAATAAATAAGTAGTCCCTTAGTGCCGTCACACAAACAGTGTACAACAGCGGCTAGCATACACACATCGATGAAATGCTCTGTATAGAAAGTTTCATTGAGCAAATCCCTCAAACAATTAAAATTCCAACATGTCAATGCTTTCGGCATATAAACCGAGAATAATAATCTAAATATATTATGAATTGCTATTAACTTGACCGCAAATGTAATGCCCACACCACAATTGGCAGGTGTGTGGGTGACCTTCTACAGTTAAACAATTGCCCGCAATTGCATCAGTTTATTAGCCAGAAATGAGGAACGAAAAATCATTTCATGCCAACTGCAACACAGTAAATCAAAAACCAAATTAGAATTAAATACTATATTATTTATACAGTTTTCATATACAATTCACAATTGAAAAGCTTAACATTTTCTAACGCCAAGAATGACGGAAGCCAATATACAACGTCAAAAATAAATTATTCATAGTATTTATACACATTTTAAATGTCAATGGCAGTAATAAAACAAATTACAAAGGGCATACCAAATTCTGAAGGTTAACACACACTTGAGGGAAGCCTCATATGTTTAGGGAGTCGGGTTATATTTAATTGTAGCTTACATATTGCAGCAATAAAAAATCCTGAATCCTATAATCATTTTACAAATTTTATAATTTCTTTTACTTTGAATTAATTAGAAATGCCAGTAATTTAAATTGCAGTACAAAACAACAATCAAAAATATCTAAACATTTTCTTAAGTTTTAGACTAGTGTCGATAGCCACATTAAAATGTGCAGCTTACAGTTTTTCTGGATTGGAAAGCAATATAATTTATATTAACCATACATATTTTTAATATTGTCAGGCTTAAAAAATAGAGACGAAAGCCACAAAATGGTTGTCACTTTAAAGTTGTTATTAAATCAATAAGCGCATCATTTAGATTGTATTAATAGACTAGTGACGAAAGCCACATCAAAGATGTCAAGCTACAGTTGATTCTGGACTGACAAGCATATAATTTATATGAATCAGATGTTTTTAAGTAAATTGTATTTGCTTAAGTAAAAAAAAATAGTCACGAAAGTTACATATTATTTTTATTTGTACATGTTTTTACTTTAAATTTATATGACTATTCCATGATAAAAAAACACCAAGTGACAAAAGTTATTTTTATCTATAAAGGTTTTTACTTAAAATTTAGTTAAGTGTTTCCAGAGAAAGAAAAAAAATCAAGTGACGAAAGCCACACGACGGGTGTCAAGTTACAGTTAATTTGTGCTCTGATTGGCAACAACCTGTTTCGCACATTTCGACGTTTTTGGCATCGTTTTGGCTTTTTTGATTAATTGCAGTGTTTCGCAATAGCAATAATAACAAGAAAATGCACACACATTTTTGTACTTGGTAGCTGGCTGGCTGGCTGTCATTCCTCCTTGCACAAATGCAAATATGTGCAGATAAATTAGAAAAATAATCAACGCCGTCTGAATAAATATAGCGCTAACAATCATCACCGCAGCGGTTGCACAAACAGACAGCAAAACTGACTGGCTGACTGACGGACGGACAAATACAGTAACTTCTACCAGTCTGCAAGTGACGTATTGACTGACAACTGCAGAGCAGCCAGTAGTAATGGCTAAAACAATAGGGCCAGGCCAAAAACACGTGCGTCCTGCCGAGCGCCCATTTGAAAACATTACCCATCCGCCCCGTGGTTCGCTTCGATTCGGTTTCCACATATCCACGTACACTGATAAAAAACAACGTAGCAAATCATATTGCGTTTAAATATTTTTTGCTATTATTTTCAGCCAATACTGTTCTTATTTATTTTAAATATTTCAAAAATATGGTTAAATTTTAAGATTTTAAGCCACTAAGTTCTTGAAAACACTTTTAAATGTGCCTAAAAGTATGCTGTAAATAGTGAATAATCAACTTTCTGAAGGGATTCATAGTATTTTAAGGTTTAAAATATATGGTTGCATACTATTAGACACCCAAAATTATATTTATTTAATTAAATTATATTATTTATTATATTTGATTTGGGTGGCAACCCTGTTTGACTGTAATATGAAATTCTTTTTTAATAACAATTATATTATTAATAATATTGTTACTTTGATTTAAATCTTTTCTTATTAAATTAGGCACTTTAAATTTTTTGTACTTAAGTGAAATGAATATTTGTGTTTACCTATCCATTTTTTTTATCAGTGTAAATGTAAATTAAAGTCAGCTGAGCTGTCTTTTCCAAATTGAACTGGCAATAGAATGACGCAGAAATGAACCTGCCGACTGCTTCTAATTCAATGTAAATCTAGTTGATTGTATAACTAAAAAGATCGAAGTCGAATAACACCAGTTTACAAAGAAGAAACTGGCTGTTCAGGATTTTAATAGAAATCGAAGTACATTTTATTGCATTTTCAAAATCAATTACTTTCTAACAATGTAAGTTAACGACTCGATTTTATGGTTGCTTCCATAGCAAGAAATGCCATTAAAAATCACTCGTTTTTTCGATGACAATTACGACCGAAAAGCTTATTACAAACTTGATGGTTTGCACTTTTTTAGGTGCAGCTTTAAAATTGAAGCCAAGATTTGATGGTAGAGCATACAAAATATGTATTTTAATGCAATGAAATCAATCGGGAATCGACATATGTATTTTACACACGAGAAAAACAAATTATTTGATATGCAAATTCATATATGCTTTGATGTACAAACAAAAAGACTTCAGTGTGTGCTGGTTTTTAATTATTAAACAAGTTTGCAAAGTGGAGAGAACAACATTTTATCACTGCCTGCACAGCTAATTTTATGCACATACATTCCATTTGTTTGCTTATTGTTAGGTTTTTATTGCTTTGCGCATATTTTTGCGTTTACACGATCGCATCAACACGCCCACTAAAAAATTCCTTCCCGAACGTGTCCCCCCATCGCCTACACTCAGCAAAAAAAGGAGCCCCTTCCCCTGCTTAAAAATAAAAAGAACAACAATGTAGCAAGAAGACACAACGACCAGAAAACTGAAATTACAGCAGAAATACCGCCAACGGGGCTAATGAAATATTACTTTTTGTTTACTTCCACAGAGTCTGTGCTACTTTTCCACCGATATCGCGCATACAGTGAACGCTCGAAAGAGTAAACACTCGGTTATTTATGGGTTCCTTAATATTTTCTTTAAATATGAAGCAAGCTTTTCTTTATTGATATACAAAAATAAAAATTTACCAAACAGTTAATTAACATCTTTTCATTTAGTGTTTTTTATTTTAAACATTAGTGATAAATGGATTTTATCGAAGAAGCCAAACCTTTTAGTACTTTCAAAAAATTAATCCTAACATAATTAAATAAAAATACCTCGTAAATAAAAATCTGGTATTTTTACAGGGCGTATGCGTGATTTTTACAAAACTGGTATTTATAATCATTTTCCAAATGTACTCTTTTAAACCAGTCAAAAATTCGAGGTTCTACGTTAACCAAAAATATCTGTAGCAATATGTTACACATCTTATATACATAAATACATATACACTTAAACACAATGTGTGTTTTTTTTTATGATAATGAAAAAGGCAATTACGCAAACAATTTCTTTCATCGGAACCATTATATTTTATGCCCTAATAAACATGAACTGCTCTATAATTCAGTTTAAGCTTGTACAAAAATGTCAATTTAATAATCTCAAAAATCTTTGTTAATCTACCAAACAAAGCCAAGTAAAACCTAATGCAATCCATGCTAATTAAATTATTGTCTATCCAAAAACAATGAAAATGTTATTTATTTAGACCTAGTCCAACAAATTCTTAATTATCTATGAGCAAATTGGGGTGTGAACAGCTCAATTGCCCAATGTGGAACATTAAAATTTCAATAATAGTTTCCCATCAATTAATTTAGAAACCACTTAAACAACCGTGTCTTGTTACGTTTAATACCTTAATTGATAGCTCATAAAATGTTACGGATTTTATTGAATTAATTCAGGCTGTCAGATGAACGATATGCTGTACATTCGTGCACGTCCATATTAGATAGAGGGGCTCGTCCCCAACGTGCAATTTATGTGTTACGTTGTACACACATTAATGTGCATAAATGGGCATGTCTTCATTTTGTATGAGGCCCGGGCTCGCATGGCGGCGTAATTATATCAGCACTCGTTATTGGAATCTCCCGAGTGCAGTAATGTGCTGTGTTGGGCGCCACAAATCGTGGAGAACCGGTGCCCAAAACCCAGCTAAAGTGTGTGAAAAATTAATTTAAGTCAGTCCAGTTCGTATCGCCGTACGTCGGTGGGTCTAATCCAATGATATTTCCTCTTTTATTTGTGAGAGTATTTTGCAGGGGGCAGCCTATCGTTGTGTCGCTGTTATACACTGTTTGTGTGGCGGCAGAAAACGATCAGTCATTCCCTATGCAATGCTTAACGGAAAGCTGCCGATCGCTGGTCTAATTTATTTCGGAAGTTGGAAGTTTTCAATAACCTTACAGATCAAGATATTGATATACCGATATTAACATCATTGACCATGTTATCAACTTACATTCTAGTATCTTTAATAAAAAACGGAACAAAGTGTTCTCGGTTCAAGAAGCTACTTTCATCTCT